GTGGCATTCATGCCAATCAATAGACTATCCGTTTGTGGTAAGCAGATAGGACTGACGTGCGGCGCAAATTCCACCGGTTGCTCCAGTTTCACCAAGGCCAAGTCATATTCGTAGGTGAAGAAATTATATTTGGGATGTACGACTTTTTTGGCCACACCACGCTCGATGTAGGGTAGTTGCTCTTGAACGTGGGAGAAGTCATATTCGCCGACACGTATGCGCATCTGCGAGATGAGTAGACTGGAATGGAGATGAAAATAAAGCACAATTTAATAAGTATTTAAGGAAATTATTATGAAAAAATAATATTTATAAGAAAACTGCAACTCAAGARGTCTTTCCAGTACGCCAACCAGACTTCGCACTGTCCGCCATTCAMAGTGGAGTCTTTAACACCTTTACCGACTCCTTCTCTGTGAATGGCGTACTTAGTGTATTGGGCATACCGTTAGATGACTTCAATGACAACGAACCAGAACCTTACCACCTACGTTGAGATTAGATAACCGCTACATGGCAGCAATTATCAATTATTCTCATTAGCAAATTTAGCCTAGCAGTCACATATTTTTGATCTGATTGATTCYGAAGGGATTWAAGTTGGGTGTGGTAGTTACTCTTGRTAGSCAGCCACAGTTGAACAACCATACTCAATCCCTACTCTTGCGTCTGCGTCATACACCCCGTGCAACGTGAACCCCTTTGAGTGAGATTCGGAAAGCGACCCTGGGTTACGGCAAATACATATTGCCCTTGATTGGACCTCTCCGTGTTACCGGTTTAAGGGCTTAGCAAGGTTGTAGTGTCCGTCCACCAGATGAGAGACCCTGGAAGCGGGCGTCTGTATTGAGGCAAGCGGGTGTCCATATAATGCAGGAAAAAGTGATACGTGACAATAATCGGAACTACAGTTCCACTGGCATTAAAAGTATACGGGGGTACGAAAATGATTTTTTGTGACTTGGGACCTATGTCATTGTTGGGAGCTACACATTTTAAAAACTTTGTTTATCTTGGAATCAGTGTAAATTCAACCAATAATCTACTCCGTACTACTATTCGGTGCGGAAACATGGTCGTTGATGAACCCAGATTGGAGTATTTGAGAGAATTATTCTTTGCAAGATCTTAGGAGCCATCCGCGTGAGCGATGAAATTCGTAGAAGMTGGAACCAYRTACTGYMTGAGCACTACATTGACAGGAATATAGTCAAGCACATAAAAATCCAAGGAATGCGCTGGTTAGGCCATATCGTTCGCAWGGATGATGATGCTCCAGCGAAAAGTTTCTTCAATACGAGATCCATGCGTAGACAACTGAAGTAAGTGCACTCACGCATCCTATAAATGGACCAAGTTCATAGCGACCTGCCTACACTTGTGATGTGCAATTGATGTGACCTAGCAAATGATAGAAATAACTAGGGATGCTTTGTTCTCAGTCCAGATCAACCTATGGTTATAGGGGCAAAGAAGAAGATTCCGAGCTTTACTAAGTTTCATCTTTACTGTGACACCTAAAGTGCTCTATTCTTCCTTTAACGTCTTTCAGATCGGTATTGCTTGTGACTTAACAACTGACGCGTTATATAAAAAAAATAAGGAAGTGGAAGCCTGGCACTATCGTGTTATCTGCCAGATTTATTTGAGTCTTACCTTATGATATGAATCTAACCTCACATAAACCAATCACCACTGATTAATTGCATGCCATCGTTGTGAGATTTTATATACTCTTAGACTACAGTAGTTAACGGTTATTTAATTACTTACTCATCGACACAATGTCCCGCAGTTGCGATCCAATTCTCATTGATTAGCGCGCCACCACAGCGATGTGTACTCGAGAAGCCGAAAAACGTTGTACGACGCACCGACACTTGCCAAGGCCAACGACCGAACGCCGCACTCTTGCCGCCCACAATGCGTGTCTCCGGACGCGCCAAAACCGGAATACCGCATTCTACAAATCCGTCAAAAATGTTTGGCATAAATTAGGGAAGAAAAGAACAAAAAACAAAAAAAAAGAAACCACCGTGAGTAAAAAGATTAAACGAGAAAACACATAAAATCTTTATGGGATTGCACGGCAACCCGAGAATGATTGAATGCAGTTAAATGATGGCTTAAATAGTCTGGCGGTCAATCAACGACAGCAACACCCAACGCAGATCAGCGATGCAAATAACGCAACAAGTGATAAATGAACCGAAACTCAAGCCATAAATAAAATATATGTATGTATGTATGTGGATGTAGAAGTTGGGTTCCAGTGAAGTTGTAAAACTTACCGCTACGTGCGGCTGTGATGATTTTAATAGCGGTGCTATTATTGGTCAAACTATCGGAGATCTCATTCGATTCGATCGTCGTCAGATTGTGGTGCGACAATGTCTGCTGCTGCGATGGCGGCCTCGGATGCGGATAATGTCCATAAGTGGGCATATTATGCGTTGCAGTGACAGCTGTAGATGGTGAAGCGGGTGGTGAGAGCGATGATGATGAGGAAGCGGAATGTGATGATGTAGAAGATGATAATGATGATGCTGAAGTGGTTGATGATGATGAGGTGGTGGTTGATGCTGGCGGCTTTGATGTTGGTGGTTGCCTTGTCGGTATCGTTTGCGACCAAGTGGGCCGTTGAGTGGGTCTAATGGGCGACATTGAGCCGGTTGTATGCGCCGATGATGATGATGATGATGATGACAACGTTGACGAACTGGATGATGTCGAAGTGGGTTTATATTTTTGCGTTGTTGTTGTTGTGGTCGTTATTGCTGTTGTTGGTTTTGCTGTAGACGACGAGTAATGTGGATAAATTGTGCCGTCGCCGACGCCGCTGGGCACACCACTTTCGCTAATGACCCAATTGGGCGTGGTTGGGCGCGTGTAAGGACGCGTTGTCGTTTTTACCGTAGTACTGCTTGTTGGTAATCGCGTGCTTGTCGTTGTTGTTGTATCCATTGTAGTTGTTGTCGCGCTCACAGTGCCGCTGGTGGTCGCCAGTGATGTGGCTGGCACTTTCGTTGGTGGCTTCCCATAAACAGGCGGCGGTCGATATTGTTGCTGGTGGTGWTGGTATTGATGTTGTTGCTGCTGCTGCAAATTTAAATTATGAGTTTGAAATTATTCAATGTTATTTATGCCTATACGGCGGTCATGTCGGTGCAGATTTTTCATATGGCCAAAATCAATTTTTCATTTCAATGCACTACAAAAACAATATGCGCGAACGCACTCATTCGTTGGATAATACCGTCTAKCGGCGACATGTGGCTAGCCCGTGAACGATTGCCGGCATTAGTGGACTTGAGCTTAAGTTTACAAAAAAAGGCAAACAAGGTAGTAGTAAGCAGGTCCTTGGGCGCTTTACTTAAACCGCACACACAGTGGTCAGTTACAAAGGCTTGCAGTTTTGGAAATTGGGAATMGTTTTTGAGCGTTTATCAAAATTACTGGTATGATATGCGGGAATGTTTATTGCAAAAACAGCATTTAATCGGAGATTTAACCAGTTCCGTACAAGGTAGGTTGTCTCATAGATGATAGAATATTAAACATCTCTGAACGTTTAAGGGCCCGGGTAAGAATATCGTCAGCCCGCTGAAAGCACCCAATCAAACCGGCCTTAAAAATTTTCAATGAGATTCCTATTGGAATTAGGTTAGGTTTGATAAATAGGCTGATATTCGTGAGACCAATAATAATCCCAAAWGCACTGCTGAAGGGGCGTGTCAGTTGTGATGCACAGAACTTCTAAGCACGAATCAAACCGACCGTCGTATAACCACAAAGCGTCTAGAACCAACCACAAAATATGATATTTATCCAGGCAATTCGCCGGATTCATAGAAAGYATGGTAACCAAGATGTTTCATCCTCAGTCTGATGAAAGCTATACAGTCAAGGCGAAAGTCCTTAGATGTTTCCAATGCGTGAGCCAATGTGGCGATGTCCAGTTTGCGCTCCAATCTGGGCTAAAAGGCTTTCGCAATCTCACAAGTCCGTCGCCGTAAAGTTTTTAAGGTTATCTAAATTAATCATATATCACATAGCCGTTCTGTTAAGAAAAKAATAAACGACTGACRMRCAAWTGTYYACCSAGCCGAAAASGTTTMATTGCGTTCTTGAAAATATAATAGTGTAATAACTTCAAAACTGTGGATCTTTTTAGTTAATGAATTAAGTACTTTAAACCCRAGGACCGAAGCTGYAGGTTGATRGCCTACGTTGRCGACGTTGTCCTTATGGTTACAAAATAATTTTCTGAATACCATCTACGTGCTAATCTAATGATATCTCAATTGTCAAATGACTTTCTTGCGATAAGGTTAAAAAATTTTGACGGAGGTGAGTTTTCAAATTTGTACGCAAGTTGTCAAAGTTGTATGGAGGAGAACGAGGTGGAAACATCCAGACACTTTCTCCTCCATTTTACAACAATTGCAAGACTGAGAATGAAATTTCTCGGCAGTCTTACCTTCGGGTAGCCAGTCTCAACGAATTTGTGATAAGCTCAAAGCGCTTTGTCGATTTTTCGAGGGTCTTRGGATCTATTATATAAGRGTTTCAGGTAATAACACGCACCGACGTTCTAAGATGTCTAAGCGAGATCCTTGTTTTTATCGACCTCTTAACCTAATTCTAACCTCAGACAATTTTGTAAAGATCTCTAAAGATCTCCAAACTATGTCACTTTTCATATATTTTTATAAGCTTGGAATATGTTTAACTTCAAAGCAAGTTACTGGCGCTACTGTCACATGCAATTAGGCCCTTAACTGTCTTAAACCATTTACGTATAGACAAAGACGAGACATTGTGTGATCGCCACATGCCGCGTGCTGCATGCCACACACAAAATAGACGTCGCACTTTCAGTTACTGATACACTTTAGCGGATCAATCGGTCGAGCAGCATAGCACAAGTGGACGTATAGCATGGCACAGCTTAGCCGCACCACACCCAAATGACGGGCAATCTTTCATCAGCTATTTTCAAACAATAAAATGTCGCTCAAGGCTAGATAAACATTTTTATACGCTTATGTGCAACAAAGTTGATTTGTTGTTGCTGTGTGCACGATAATCCGCCCATGCCGCATAAGTATGCAAACATTGAGGCAGAAATTTGTCAGTTTGTCAGTGAGTGAGTGTTTAAGTAAATGACCTCGGCATGTGGCCCAGCCAGAGGTAGCCCGTTTAAATACCCCGAGAACAATGTGTAGGGATTCACATAAGTGCAGACAAACATACCTGATGCTGTTGTTGTTGCCACAAGTTAGTGCCTGACGATGACGAAGTCGCAGATGTGTCGAAAGACGCAGACGAGGCGGTGTATGGTGGTTGTGGACGCGTCAACGACAGCGCCGATATTGGCGTTRTTGGTGCACTGGCCGCCGCTGATGAGGGCGATGCGGACGGTTGGCCTGTCGCTGACTGCGTAGATGTTGGCGGCACTGGCCTTCGCGTCGTGTACACAATACCCGCTGTGGTGTGCTGCTGTTGCTGTTGTTGCTGCGTCAATTGGTAGCTGGGCAATTGCGGCTGTGGCAAGATAGGCTTCTTTGTTGGCTTTGATGGCTTTGAGGGACGCATACCGGTCGGTTTCTCCCAGCTGGGCGGCCGCGGTTTGGTAATAAAATTTGGCTCAGTCGTCATGTGCCAGTGGTGTTGCGTTACGGCTGTCAGCTGTGGTGATGTATTCCATTGATCTGCAGAAAGTCATGAATTTATATGAGGGGCACACAGAGGTATGCAAGTGTTAGCAGGCTTGTAAATCAGTTTTCGGGTAARTGTTGTATTATATTTTAGCACAGGGGTGTCCTTATTTTGAAAACCTTGAAAACATTTTTGCCATATAAAGTTTGTACCACTGATTTTTAGATATTTGGAAACATTAAAGAAGTTCTCCAATACAAAATTCACCGAATCTGCCCCTTTGAGATTGAAAATGGTGGCAACCTTTTTCAAAAACATCTCAAATAAAAAATTGTATTGAAACTCTTWAATTACGCACCCATATTGTAACACTTCATATATTTTCAAATTTAATGAATTAATATTGCTGAACAAATGGCAACCCTTATATAAAAAATTTTCAAATGTAAGTTTTACTTAACCGTTTAAGTTTGTTAYCCATACTGCAGTATTCCTTTATATTAAAACATGTTTTTAGCAAAATATATGAAAAGGTGGCAACCCTTATAAATTATTTTCGTCTCTAAGTTTTTTAACCGCATCAGTTTGATACTTTTCTATCTTAAAAACATTTTTTACCAAAAAAAGTAAACTGGTGGAAAACCTTTATAAAAAAAATCTTCCAATTGCACTTATTTCAACCGCTTAAGTTTGATAAACGTACTTTAGTTTTGTTTTAATTTAAATTTTCTTTTACCCTACATATTTAAAAAGGTGGCAACCCTTATAAAAAATAGTTTCACCTGTACGTTCTTTTAGCCGCTTAAAGTATACTACAGTATTTCTTTATCTTAAAAAAAGTTTTACCAAAAGAAATCTAAACAGGTGGCAACCCTTATAGTMAAACATTTTCAACTGTAAGTTTTTTAGCCGCTTCATTTTGATAAACATACTTTAGTACCTCTTTGGCATATATTTTATTTTACCCTAAAAATTTAAACAGGTGGCAACCCTTATAGTAAAACATTTTYAACTGTYTATTTTTTAGACGCCCTAGTTTAATACCCATACTTTAGTATTATAGTTTTTTACCAAAAAAATTAAACAGGTGGCAACACTTTTAAGAAATGTTTTGCTTCTTAAAGTTCATTTTGGCAGCATATTGTTGTACATACATATTTCGTTACCGATATTGATTTGCTTCCATAATCTTATATTTAGGTATAAAGTCGATTTCCTTGTACATACATATTTCGTTCACCGAAATATTTTTATGATTTATTATTTTTAAAGAGGTGACAACCTCCAATTTACAGATTGCAGACATCATAAACAATATTCTAAATCATTTTCATAAAATTTCCTATATAGGATACCCTTAATGTACACATTCTTCAATAGAAAGTACTCACTTGACGCCGTGGCCGCTGCCGGCTGCAAATCTTGCAATACYGAATTCGAAGTCCACAACGCATTGGAGTCCTCAGTTGAAGTGGTTGTCGTCGTTGTCGTCGCTGCTGAGTGAGAGGCGGAGAAAGATGTGGTTGTGSCCACAGTTGAGGGTTTCATGTACTGAGGCTTATACAAAGCGCCCTGATGATGCGGCCCAGATGGACGTATGACCAGCGTTCCAGCGCCATGCGGCCGCTCAATAGTAGTCATACCACTGCAAAGAGAAGCATACAAAACTAAGCATACACTATATTGCGTACGCCACAGTCTTAACTCACCTTATGCTCGGCTTGTGTGGCTGATGCGGCGGTCGAGGTCGATGATTCACACCGCCAATGCCCAGAGGTTTGGTGGGACGCGTGTAGGAGAACGTCTGCGGCATTACAATATTCTCTGTATAATTGTGCGCACAACACGAACCGAACATAAACGAGTCCACACACATGCCCACATGCCGACCCTCCGACTTGATGCACTCCCACACGAACATGCAAGTGCCCTCGATGCGTCCAATCGAGCAGGGCTTCTGACTGATTTTGAAATTTTGACTCCGTTGCAGCTGATTCACCGACAATGCGGTATCACCATCTGGTACGTTGTAAGCGCCTGCTGCAGCCAGCGTGGCAGCCGATGGCAATTGCAACGCGTTGAATGCAAACGCCGCATTGCCGCCAATGCTGTGCGCTTGGCGATAGTTGTTGCTATAAGCGTCCACGTACTCATCATCGTCGTCGTCGTCGCCGCGTTGGCTCAGCCTACGGTTCGTGTAGAAGTTGTATGCTTCGGCAAGTGTATCGCTCGCCGTTGGCGCACCGAATGCGGCTGTCGCTGTGGGCAGTTGTCCGCATAGCTGCATCAGACAATTGGCTAATAGTAAGGCTAGTAATACTTCTATTATTTGGTTTAGGCAAGCGTTGACTCGTGTGCACCGGGCAGGCGCTATTGAGGACTTTAGGTGCGACCATAACGATGCGGTTGTATWTGACGCAGTTCCTGACAGCCGCGAGAGCTGTCTGTACGGCAGCGCTTTTCCATCTGCCGCATACGCCGTGGCTGACATTTGCGGTAGCCATAACTCGGGCTGCTCGGCACATTTCGCGCGTGCGTCGCATAATCGTCGGCATTTGCGTTTAGTATGTCGCGGTAGTTGCAAAGTCGACGCCGCTGCTGTTTGCAGCGACTGTGTAGATTTCCTTGTTCTGTTGGACAGTTGWTACCGATCTCTGCTACTTMCTATGCCCACTTGTCTCGTGTCCGTGACTAGCCATCTTCGACTATAACAATTATTACTATTCCACATGTTGTATAAATATGAAAATTCTGCAAAAAAAAAAAGAGATGGAAAAGATATAATGATTATATGCGACGAAAGAGCACAACATTACACAATTTTATTTTTGAATTTTCAAATAATCTTTCTCCAAATCTGTGGTTTTGTCGTCTATGCCGATTGCAGGATTCTTCCTAGAAGTGACGGAATCGCAGGAAGCAGTAAAGTTGATCAGCTGGCAAGAAAAGGTACTCTAAAACCGCTGTCRGTTCAATTGGAATGGATCGGTGCTCCCGTATCCTTTTGTGTTCTACTATCAAATAACTGGACTTCGCGGAAGCTTGGTTAGCGCTGGGCCACCATCTGTACATGCTCTGTCGCAAAAGCTTTATCGCCCAAATCGATCACAAGAGATGTGGTGATCTCTTTGCCATCAGAAACGCTAGCCTCTTCCTAATTTGAGGGCTTTTAATGGGCCATGGTTGGGAATCCTACCAGAAGTGATCTGTAGATGTTGTACGGAAAAAGATTAGGTGGAAACAATTCAACGCTTCCTTTTTGACTGTTCCGCGTTTGGGAGGTCAAGACRTAAGCACTTGGGATCGGGAATGTAAATTAAACGCCTGTGCAAATTTGTATTGGCTAGTAAGCGTTTTACTGATTTATGGTTCAAATACAAGAGCTGTTCTTTTCTATGGTCGCACAAAAAACTACATATAGTAGACCACGTGCGATCTTTGATCAGCCATCTAACCTAACATACCTCTGTGGTTTACATCGCAACCTCGTAAGTTACAGATGGTATCTATGATTATTTCATGAAATTAGAAAGGACCTCTAAAAGAAAAAATTCTTGAACATTTTAAATCAATATCTGTCCTCTAGAGTTATTATCATTAAGAAATCTACAAAATAAGAGACAAGAGGCAAAGAGAATTTTTTGTCCTTAGCTTACGGACGGCTATGAATATAAAGAGAGAATGTAATTTAATTGCAAATTATGTGCAATTCCAAAAATTTTCATAAAATTTCGTTGCTACTTAGGGTATTCGAACATACTCCGTTCGGAGGTTCACAAACATATATTTTACTGTTGGGGGCTTCAGCAAACCTATTATACATAGATGAGAGTCTTCGGCAAACATAACTTCATAATTCTCTCTTATTGAGAAATCTGTACCAATCTCATGATCTAAAATATCATCGTCGTTGATGTAATCTGTTTTTTTTTTTTGTTTTCTTTCTTCTTGTTTTGATTTTCTGTTTTTGATACGATAAACTACTCTAAATAAGAGGAACCCGGAACTGCAAAGGATCGATAATCTTTATCCAAATCATGTTAGATTTTGTAGTAATACAGATGGCTGTCCAGCTTATACCTGTAGGAAAACAGGATCTTACAAA